CCTTCCCCAGCCGCCTGGCTCCAGCATACCAAGCCTGCAAAACTTACTGGAAAGCCTATGGATGCAAATTTTGTCCTCTGTCCTATGCCAAGAATTTAAGCTGCAGTCCCAGGGGGGCCCAGCCCGGAGCAGGCCTCCTTGTTCCCTTCCGAGCAGGCCAGGCCTCCAGATCCTCTTTAAAGTTTTATTGCAGGGTGGGGCCGGGGAAGGAGAAAGGGCTTGCAAAGCCCCCAGCAGCCAGACAGGGGTGTGGCAGAGATGGTGGCAAGGCAGCTGGGAGACTGTGCCAGCTTCCCGAAACCTTTGACAGTGCTGATGGATCGGTCAGCACAGTATTGATTTAGACTCCCTGGCTCGTCACCAAAGACTGAACCGACCCACTCCCAGCTCCGGGATCAATAGAGGAGTTTCCAGAGAGGGGAACATGCCCCGCTGCAAGGGCAGAGGTAAAGACCCCTGGGGCTGGAGGGCAGTGCCCCAGGGGCCCTGTCCACAATAACTTTACATGCTGCTACAAGCCATGCAGCGGCCAGGGAAGCACCTGAGTTGGCAGGGACTCTCCCTTAGCTCAGTGGCCAGGTTCAACAGAAGGGAGATGCCTGGAGAAAGCAACTGTGCAGGGATTAGAAATGCACTGCCCAGAAAGAGAGACGGTCAGGGCAGCTCAAACCCCGAAAGGCCGTCTGGTAAAGCACAGCATCAACCGACCTGCAATCGATAGGAGCTAAACTTGAATGGGAACGCACGTGGTCTGTAGGGATTTCAACCCCAGCCTTGCACGAGCGCTGGAAGGGGGGGGATGAGCCAAGAGGGAAGTGGCTGACCTGTCTAAGAGCAGCCAGGGAAGCGAGCGATAAATCAGCCTGTTTCGAGATGATTTTTGTTTTAATCCCGCGAAGGTTGAATTAACGTGCAGAAGGAGAGTGGGGTTTTTCAGAGGTGAAATTGTAAGAGGCAAAACACTGAAAGCTGAGCTAGGGAGCTGGGAAGGGCATAGATTCACGATCTATCAGAGTCTGGTTGTTTTGACACTCCCTTTTGGGGTCATTTATTAGCAGCGGGTTGGCCGCATTCACAGGAGAAACAGTGTCTTTTTTAAAAATTCAGCTCTTTTTGCCCACCAGTAAGCATGTTCTCCTAGACCTCCAACTTTTGCTACCACAAATCCAGGCTGGGCCTCCTCATCTATAAAGGTGAACATGCAAGAGAAGAACAAACAATGTTGTCCCCCCTGGCTCTCCAATGCTCCTTTCTTATATGCTGGGGAAAGCAGACCCAGCTTGGTTAGAAACCTTGGCCGGTCACCTTAACTCTGCCCCCAGGACCTCTCCTGCCAGCTGCCATCGATTGCCGGATGAAACCTCAGTCCATCTCTGAGGTCAGTGTACAAACGGTGATGGTACTGAGGTCTGGACGCTGTAATCTCACTGACTCTTCATCAGTCAGGACCAGGCGAGTCTCCACTACTTGGGAAGAAAGACTCATTGATGGCTCCTCCTGTCCTGGGACACAGGCCTCCAGTATGGTCCAGCCATCTGCACCCGGCACCGCCGATTAGCACTTGGCAAGGCACTGATCTGCATTACAGCCCCACGACTTACGGATCGTGGCGTAGCTGCAGCATCAATACACAGATGCCAGATGCAGTAGATGACGGGAGACACTTTTGATTGTATCAGTGAAGGTGGATCAATTTGACCCTAGAAAAATCTTCCTTTTCTTTTGTTGTTTTTTTTTTTCTTAACCCAGAAAGTCCTTGTTCTGCTAAGCAGCTGGAAGGAGTACGTTTGGAGGTCGTCCGGCCTGTTCGGAGCGTGAGTTTTCCCACTGAGATCCCCTAGCTCTTCTGTTCGATCCCACCTGTACCGCTGGTGGCCTCCCAAGGCAGCCTGACCTCTTCTGAACTTCCCTGGATAGGAAGCGACCTGTCCTTGGCTTCCACGCCCCAGGTTTGCTGCCTGTGGAAGCTGCCCACAAGAGCAGGCTTATGGGGAGAGGGATTATTAGGTGGTGAATGCATTATTTATTCCTGCATGCGTTTCCAAAGCACCTACCAAAGGCAGCGGCATTCGTTAAGAGCCTGGCATTTGTGCCAGGATCCGACCGCCCTGTTAAATAATTCACTAACTTAAGCCTTTAATTTTCACCCTCACTTCTCTTTTTTTAGCAGTGTGGGCTCTGGGGCCCCGCTGGAGGGAGGGGAACTGTGCTGGGTTTGAAAATGGCATCAGCTGCTTTAAGGATCTAACCGTTTGGAAAGGAAGTGTGGCTACAGGAGGGGGAGGAAAGCAAGCGCCGCGCCACTTTGGGAAAGCCATTTGCTAGCTCTGTGCCTCAGTTTCCCCACTGCATTGAACTGACTCACTGAGTCATGGGGTGGGGAGGCTTCGCTGCCACAGTGCTTTGGGATCTGCCTGTAAAAGACAACATCGGGTCACTTTTGCCCTTAGGAATGAGCTGGGGATGAGGGAGGGCTGGCCCGGGGGCTACCAGCTCTGAGATCCACCGTGAAATCTGGTAAATCCCACCCGTTCCACCAGTTCCCTCGTGGTACGCCAAGGCAGCCTGTCCATGTGTGGCCCGGGGGTTTGCCCAGCAGGATCCAGGCTTCAGAGCCTCCTCGCTGTCCCCCGCCTCTCCTGCTTCTGCTGATTTCTTATCTATTGGCTTCCAAGTCTCCATCCGTCACTGGTGTCCCCCGAGCGGTGTGGGACCTGGGGACTCCAGTCTGCACCTTGCTTTTCTCCGTGGGCTGCTAGCCACGGCAACGATCAACAATTACCAAGGACTGACAGCTGGATCCAGAATGGGCTGGCGGGCTATGGTGGATTCCCCAGAGCCGGGAGAAACACCCATTTTCTAGCGATGAGTCAATGGCAGCCCTGGCCTTAGAAGCAGAGATCAACCCCGCATGCCCGAGGTGGTGGCTGCCACATGTGTCCTGATTTGTCCTGGTTCCAGGATAGGCCTCATCCTGCCCTGGATGTGTTGCTAGATGGGCAGGGTGCACTGTAAAAGCCCGGTCCTCTCCCAGTGCAAGCAAACTCAGGCCTGGCTCCTTCCTGCTGCCCCAGCCCTTCCTTGCCAGCTTTTCCACCCCTTCCTCCGCCGGGCGGTGGGAGATTTCGAGGGGCTCCGGAAAGTAGCAACGCATCGCTGCGGACTTTACTTTGAGAATCAATGAACCTATTATTTCACAAACCAAATGCTGCAGCCTCCTCGGGGGAGCTCACCGTGTGCGGGGACATGATGGGCAGGTGCTGACCTAGAGCCGGTTTCCAGCACCTGATCTGGGAAGACGTGGTGAGGAGGATTTGGAGCACAGGAGTGAGGGGGCAGATGGAGGAAGCAGGGGACAGGACAGTCCGGATCAGGGTGTTCAGGGACCCCCGCTCCCCATCACTGCAAGAGCTGTGCTTAGCCCAGGATAAGGGGCAATAATGGCATCCAGAGAGCATCTTGCCACATTTGCTCCAAGTAGCCTCCCCGGGATGGCACATGCACCTGGGTGACTAAAGACAAGTCACTCTTCTGGGGAGCCCTGCTCTCTCCAGCTTCGCCCTCTCTGCCCCCACTGCCTCCCTCCTGCATTTGTCTTCCTGCATTTCCTCCAGCTTGGAAAGGTCCTGCTGGAGCTCCTGAGCCACCCAGGGCTGGCTCCATCCCTGCTTCATCAAATCATAGAAAACTAGTTGAACCTGGCTTCACTGTGGAAGATTAATTTTATTTATTTATTTATTTATTTATTTATTTTTGTATAGATTTATAGATTGTAAGTCTGGAAGGGACCTCGGAAAATCATCAGGTCCAGCCCCTGCACCAAGCAGGAAAGATAACAGGTGACCCCAGCAAGGTGACCACATTTGTCGTCGTCGTCATCATCATCATCATCATCATCATCTTTGCTTTATGGTTTATACCTCATTGCCTGTTCCAACTTCAAAAGCTTTCAGGCCATCGTTTCCATCCACTTTCTTCTCTTGTAGACTGTAAGTGAAATTTTTGACAGGGGTGAGCTATCAACCCCCATGATCTGGCCTCTGGAATGAGAGATTGAATTTATATCAATGAGGCTGGGAAGGGAGCTCAGGAGGTCACATCTAGTCCAACCCTCTGCTCCAAGCAGGGCCATCCCCAACTAGATCATCCCAACCATGTTGAGCTGGGTCTTAAAAACCTCCAAGGATGGAGATGCCACCACCTCTCTGGGTAACCCCTTCCAGTGCTTCACCACCCTCCTTGTGAGAAAGTTCTTCCTAATATCCAACCTAAACTCTTCGCCCAGGTGTCCCTTGTCCTGCAATCTGCCACCGCTGAGGATAGTCCAGCTCCAGCCTCTTTGCAATCCTGCTGCAGGGACTTGAAGGCTGCTATTCAATCCCCTCTTGGTCTTCCTTTCTGAGCAGCCCAGCTCCATCCCCTTTGCACCCCAATGCAGGGAATTGAAGTCCACTATTCAATCTCCCCTCAATCTCCTTTTATGAGCAGCCCAGCTCCATCCCCTTTGCACCCCAGTGCAGGGACTTGAAGTCTGCTATTCAATCCCATCTTGATCTTCCTTTCCGAGCAGCCCAGCTCCATCCCCTTTGCACCCCAGTGCAGGGACTTGACGTCCACTATTCAATCCCCCCTCAGTCTTCCTTTCCGAGCAGCCCAGCTCCATCCCCTTTGCACCCCAGTGCAGGGAGCTGAAGGCTACTATTCAATCCCCCCTCGGTCTTTTCCGAGCAGCCCAGCTCCATCCCCTGTGCTGCAGCCCAGGCGGGGAGTTGAAGCCCCCGTCGGTGTTGCTTTCGGAGCAGCCCCGCGGGCGGCGAGCGGCT